CTTTTTTATTCATGCATTTATTGGATATTTATTGTATGAAACTGACTCTGTGTGAGGCACCATGGATTCAATGCTGACTAAAAGCAAACATGCCTCTGTGCTCATAGAATTTACAGTCCAATAGCATTGTTAGAAGTTAATTAAATTTTCACATAAATAAATGTAAAATTGTTAAATGATAGTCATCACAGAGACTAGTGGTTACCCAAGAGTGTAGATAGCAGGGATTTTGCTATATTTGGAGAGGTTGGGGAGGGCTTTTCTGGGGAAGTGACATTGGCATGGGAATCTGAGTAAAGGAAAGTGGCAGAGTAGAAAGAGCATTCTCATCAGAAGGAACAGCATGTGCCAAAGCCAGGGGTGGGCTGTACAACACAGTGCACTTTATGACCCAAAGAGGGCTAGTGGAGAGGAGGAGAGAACACAAGAGGTCCAGGGGTGCAGTACAGCACTCCTAGCTGTGGTAAGGAGTCTCCTTTTTATGTTCAGAGCAGAGGTGAGGCACACAGTGTTTTTTCATGTGCATATGTGTGTGTGGTGGGGCTAGTGTGGAAGGTGACCTAACCAGATATGAATTTAGAAAATATCACTCTGATTGCTAGGTGGGAAAGGGATGGGGTGAGGGGAGGGCACACTGGTGGGTGGGGCAGCTCAAGTAGAGGACTGTCACAGCTATCCAAGTGCTATGGTGTGCCATTTCAAATCAGGAATTATGACCTCAGAAGAGAAGTGGAGGTTGCAGATGAAGGTTTAGGAGCCCTGGCCTGGAGCAAGACATTATTTGGTGAATAATGAATGGTTCTGGGGTGGGGCTATAAAAAGAGAAAATGACCAAAAGTGGAGCCCTACAATATCTGAGCTTTTGAGGGGCAGCTGAGGAACAAGAAAGATGGAGAGGACTAGATATGGAGCAGCCTGGGAGGTTAATGAGGAGGCAGAAGAATGAGGTGCTCCTGCTAAAAAGGGGAAAGGATGTCAAGAAGAAAGGCCCTAATGTTCAATGACATTGAAAGCTACATACAGGGTAAGTTCTAAGAGGACAAACTAGAAGTCATTAGATCTGGCAGTTATGGTATTGTCTGGGCATTTGATAGAATAATTCAATAGTGCTGAAAAATTTGTGGACAGACAGCAAGTGGGCAGGCTGAAGAGTGATTGAAAGGAAAGGACAGGGAGGTGGGGAATGCCAGCTGCTCTTTCAGAAGAGTGGTTGTGATGGAAAAGAGAGAAACGGGTAGCACGGAAAGAAGGTGTCATTTATACAGAATGCTAGCTTTTCTTTTTCTTCTTTTTAACAAGGATAGGTGAAACTTGATTGCAGGTATAGAAGAAATGAAAGGGACTTCGTGATTTGTGGCGAGGGAGATATTGAAGAGGAAGCCAATATTTGTTAAGTTTAAGAAGCTGGTTAAAGAGTGGAGAAAGAATGTAAGAGAAGGACATTGGCCTGGAAAGGAGATGAGAACTCTTCAGTGACCAAGAACAGAAGGTGAGAGACAATGGAAGAAGGAGAGTGTGCAGACCGAGGGGTGCACACAGTCTCCTCGGAGTTCAATTCAGTGCTGGATGCTCTGCTAGGGAATGCTTTTGGAGCCATAGAGCATAAAAAGTGTTAAAAAATAAATTTACTCTAATTTTATTTTTGGCATATCGCTGTGTCTGTACAGGCTGATTAATAAAGACACGAGGTAGAAATAGACGACCTATATCTGAGGAAGATGAGTTACTGAGCCAGCTGCTCTGTCTCTCAGATTATTGCTGCGTGAGCTCAGCTCAACCACTCACATCACCACGGGAAGATCTCATCTGATGCTGACCAGCCACTGAGGGGTCTGTCACACTTGCTGGATTGAATCTGATTAAGTAGATTATTTGTGATATCTGATATTCCTGCTTTAGAGTATATTTCTATGAAATTATAGAGATGTCCAGAGGCACACAGGTATCCAGTAATCATCTTGTCTGTGTTAGCTCCAGGCAGAGCAATGGCTACTCCATCCATGAGTACACCTTGAGCCCAAAGCTTTCCAACTCTATTGTTTTCCTGGTTTCTCTAGTGAGCTCTGTTTGGGTGAGTGTCCCTGTTTTCTAATCCGTGTAAGTATGAATGTCCTAATAATCTAAACCCTGATAGACTGCAAGTCTTAAAGTGAACTGTCATCTAACTTTGGAATAGAAATTCAAGATCACATAGGCTCCCCCTTAAAACTCCTCTCATAATACACAGATTAGGAAACCCAGGACCTGAAAGATAAGATGATCTAATCAAAGTTACACAGTAAGTTTATATTAAAACTAACACTGAAACCTGGGATTCTGCTCACCCTTCTCTAATTGCTGAAACACATTTCCACCTTCTCTACCTTGTGTTCCTTTTGTTGATAGATTCCTTTCTTGCTTCCTCAGACCTCAGCAAGTAATTTTCTTGGGGGGGAGGGAGGCATGTAAAAGAACCAAGAGGAAAAATGGTGCGACTTCAAGGAGAAACACATGTAAACCAGACGGTTGCTTTCTTATAATGTAAAAAGCATTCCCAGGCAGGCCAGTTAGCTCAGTTGGTTAGAGTGTGGTGTTGATAACACCAAGGTCAAGGATTCAGATCCCCCTCCAATGAGCCACCACACACACACACACACACACACACACACACACACACACACACACACACACAT